CATGATTTATGTAACTATGTTGTATCATGTATTATATATGATTTTCTGCTCAGAATTGGGTTGGGGGAAAACTAAAATAATGAATTAATTGACACTTTTCGCTTTTCAGTTCACTGATTTTGATTTGAAATGAGAAATTAGTTGTATCAATATCATAAATTTGAAATGAAATTATGAGAAATTAGTTGTATCAATGTCCGCTCGGACTGAACGTCAATGCTAGGTCCACCCCTGATTCTACTGTACGATCACATAGTGCAGTCTAACTTACTTGGTTTAACCTCTTCTTGAAAGGCAATTAGAGCACACCTTTTGATTTGATTCTTGAGCTATAATATATTCTTTATCTTCAAATTAATGGAGGAAGTTCAGGGGCTCTTGTACATATATTCCATAGATTTAAAGATGGCCATCGAAGAAAATTCATGTCTTTACAAAGCTTTAAAAAAGCCTTCGATGTATGACGCATTCACGTCATCTTTTCATATATCTTTGATTCGGTTTGAAGAAGAAGACATCCCATGTGATAATTCAAGAATTATTGAAGGATTTCAAGATTGTTTTAGTCTTTCTCCCCAATCTTCAATTTTTGGATGATGATGTATCTATTTCATTTGTGTTTTTTTATGATTCTTGACTAGTTGTATAATTGTTAGATGATTTTAAACCTACTTTATGAAGTTCTGTATTAATCTATATAGTTTGACATTTAGTCCCTATTTGCGCAAAATAATATTTTGAATAGTGATTTTAGATAAAATGAGTGGTTGAAAAGTAGGAAAAAAAATTTTGGTTTACGTGCATAATATTTTATTGTGTGAATGCGAAGTTGAAAATGAGTATGTAGAAAAAATGAATTTTCAAATAATGATTTTCAAATAGAGGATTAAATGTTTATTGTTGTTGAATGATTGTTACGTGTTTAATACTTTTTAATTAATTGGTCATTAATTGAATTGATGTATGATTTATATTGACATTTAGAAAAATGAATACCAATTTAGCACAGTTAAATCATTGTACGATCCTATGGCATTAGAGATAATTGTATATGTTTTGCATTTTTCAATCGATATTCTTGTGATTTAATGTATCTTCACATGTTTGCATTTTACTCAATATTTTTTTATTTTTTGTTTTAAGCGAGATTCGTTTGCATTTATTTGAAACTTTTGGATTATGATTGCAATTAATTTTTTATTTTTTTTTTATATTTTTTTTTTATGTAAATAGGAGGATAAATTTTTGTTATATTACAAGGCTTTAGGGAGAAAAGGAACCAAAATGTTGTATTCTGCTAAATCTGGCTGCTTTAAGGGGATATTATCCTAAAATGAAAGGTTAAGAGAATATTGTACAAAATAGATGAACGATAGGGGGTATTATTTTAATCAAAAATGCTACTTGTACATTTATAATACCCAACCAATGTCAAAATTGATTACAATTACTGCAACTTCTCATCTATCTAGTGACAACCCTCAAAAAAACAAAGGGACAGGATATATTTTAAAAGAAGTAAATCCACCTTTCAAAATTACTAGAACCACAACCATATTTTAAAAGAAGTCCAAACTTTGCTTCCCCTGTTCTCTCCGAGGTGATCAGTATATTGGACAAGGTGATTGGATAAATCTTCTGAAATCATAGCACTTCATTGAAAGTGGTCCTTTCAAGGTGAGATGCAACCTCATGCTATTTCCAAGGTAGTTGGCATGTCCTATAAATAAAATCTTTTGTATCCACCATCTCCTGTAATTGACGTGAAAAAAGGTATTTAGATGCTGAAATTGGAGTTGATTCGGAGCAATTGAAGATCAATAGAATTGTCTTTGATCATTTGGAAGCATTAATGGAACAATCGAAGGTGAATTACGACTTTTAGGAGCTAAATTCAATATTTGAGGAGTTAAGAGACTTAAAATGTAGACTTTCAAAACTCGGATGGATCAATTATAGATGATTGTAGAAAATTAATATTAAGTTGGAATTATTTAAAAGATGAAAGATCAAAGATGCAATTAGGAACATTGCCCTAGCTAAATAGAGGAGGAAATTCAGGGCCCAAAATGAAAGAATGAAGAAATTTGGTGCTTGCAATCGCAAGCCTAATCACACCCACCAAAACTGCTTGTAGCCTCACAGACATGCGTGTGCGATGACAAGCGATTCTACTCAGCGGTAGACCTAGCACCCGGTCAGGGGCACAACCGAGCGTGTTGGGCTCTGCCGGAGCAGTTTGGGGAAGATGGTCCACCATTGCCAGTGAAGGTTTTGCAGTTGCCGCCTGGTTCGTTTTCTTCAGTTTTCTCCTTTCATTTTTTTTGTTTTCTTTAGAAATTGGGCCATTGCGGGCCCATCATCGTTTTATTTTTTATTTTTATTTTGTAATTGGATTGGGTCATTTGTTTGCCTGCCCAATCCTTAATTATATAATATATAGGCCCAAATCCAATTCCCCAATTCATTCGAAATCAATTAATCAATCCCCAATTCTTCAGCTTCTCTCGCTTGCTGCTGCCCGTGAATCGCCATTTGTCCACCACCACCGCCAGCTCGCCAGCTCGCCGTGCCGGTGTCGGAAGCTCCTGTGAACGGNGTAACTATGTTGCATCATGTATTATATATGATTTTCTGCTCAGAATTGGGTTGGGGGAAAATTAAAATAATGAATTAATTGACACTTTTCCCTTTCAGTTCATTGATTTTGATTTGAAATGAGAAATTAGTTGTATCAATATCATAAATTTGAAATGAGATTATGAGAAATTAGTTGTATCAACGTCGGCTCGGACTAAACTTCAATGCTGGGTCAGCCCCAGATTCTACTGTACGATCACATAGTGTAGTCTAACTTGTTTGGTTTAACCTCTTCTTGAAAGGCAATTAGAGCACACCTTTTGATTTGATTCTTGAGCTATAATATATTCTTTATCTTCAAATTAATGGAGGAAGTTCAGGGGCTCTTGTACATATATTCCATAGATTTAAAGATGGCCATCGAAGAAAATTCATGTCTTTACAAAGCTTTAAAAAAGCCTTCGATGTATGACGCATTCACGTCATCTTTTCATATATCTTTGATTCGGTTTGAAGAAGAAGACATCCCATGTGATAATTCAAGAATTATTGAAGGATTTCAAGATTGTTTTAGTCTTTCTCCCCAATCTTCAATTTTTGGATGATGATGTATCTATTTCATTTGTGTTTTTTTATGATTCTTGACTAGTTGTATAATTGTTAGATGATTTTAAACCTACTTTATGAAGTTCTGTATTAATCTATATAGTTTGACATTTAGTCCCTATTTGCGCAAAATAATATTTTGAATAGTGATTTTAGATAAAATGAGTGGTTGAAAAGTAGGAAAAAAAATTTTGGTTTACGTGCATAATATTTTATTGTGTGAATGCGAAGTTGAAAATGAGTATGTAGAAAAAATGAATTTTCAAATAATGATTTTCAAATAGAGGATTAAATGTTTATTGTTGTTGAATGATTGTTACGTGTTTAATACTTTTTAATTAATTGGTCATTAATTGAATTGATGTATGATTTATATTGACATTTAGAAAAATGAATACCAATTTAGCACAGTTAAATCATTGTACGATCCTATGGCATTAGAGATAATTGTATATGTTTTGCATTTTTCAATCGATATTCTTGTGATTTAATGTATCTTCACATGTTTGCATTTTACTCAATATTTTTTTATTTTTTGTTTTAAGCGAGATTCGTTTGCATTTATTTGAAACTTTTGGATTATGATTGCAATTAATTTTTTATTTTTTTTTTATATTTTTTTTTTATGTAAATAGGAGGATAAATTTTTGTTATATTACAAGGCTTTAGGGAGAAAAGGAACCAAAATGTTGTATTCTGCTAAATCTGGCTGCTTTAAGGGGATATTATCCTAAAATGAAAGGTTAAGAGAATATTGTACAAAATAGATGAACGATAGGGGGTATTATTTTAATCAAAAATGCTACTTGTACATCAAGAATTGTACATCAAGGTGTACATCACACTCACATGGGGATGAGACCCACTTGTATAAAATATTTTTTTATTGAAGCGAGTCCCACCCCCATGTGAGTGTGATGTACACACCGATGTAAATCTTGATGTACAGGTAGCAAAACCGTATTTTAATTAACTTAAATATATTTGGAAGTAGGTGGCTCAAGCTAGGTCCCATAAGTAGACAATTGGCCGGCCTGAGGTGTGAGCTCTGTACGTGCCTCCATTAGCTGGACGAGACAAGTTACAAGTAGAGTACATCAAAATATACTAAAAATCTAATTTTTATCCAAATCAAACAAGTAATTAATATAACATTGGGAATTAAAACAAGTTTTTTTTTTACGTAATTGATATACCGTGAAAGATTATATAATAATAAGTGCTTGTTTGGGAGAGATTTTTAGGGGAAGAATTGATTTTGAATAGTGATATGATGAAAAATGTGTGGTTGAAAAAGAAGAAAAAATTATTGATGTGATGAAAAACATTATTTTATTGAAGAATGTGTGGTTGAAAATAATAATTGATTTACTGTAAAATTTTGAGAATCTCCACCAAACACGGCCTAAATCTTATTTTATTGGCCTCTTTATTCAGTTGATCTATATTACTCTTCCAAGCTAACGTGTATCAACCTCATTAAACAAATCATATCATCAACTGCTAGATTACGACATTTACAAGCATCCTCAAACTTTTCCTATTATATTCTCATCATTTGTCTCTGACATTGTAAGCTCCAAGAAAACTAAATTATCCTTAATTAAAAACTAATTATTAACGACTTATAATTTTTTTATTGCAAAAGGTTCCGTAAGCCAAGTTCTCAAAGCAGATGAAACCAAAGTACGCTAACAAGGCTGAACACTAAAATGTTCCCATATTTGTTTTCTAGCACTGAAGGAATCCTATATAAACATCAACTAAAATAATCAATTGTACTGCAAAAAAAAGGAAGTTCTCGAGAAACCAAAATGGCTGCCGGCGCTCTTCACGCAAGCTATGGTTTAACTGCAGGGAGAAAAATGGATTGTCCTCCTCTTCATACGTGCGAAATTCAGAAGCCACGTGCCATTCTCAGTAGGGTTCATATGTTTTTTCATGCGGTGGCCATATCAGCCCTACTTTATTACAGAATCTCGAATCTCTTGCATGGCAGTGTGCCTTTTGTTTCGTGGACGTTTATTACGATTTCTGAAATGATTTTCACCTTCATTTGGGTGTTAACGCAAGCTTTCCGGTGGCGTCCGGTGGTCCGGACGGTGGTGCCGGATAATCTTCCGAGGGATGATAAGTTACCCGGGGTGGATGTGTTTGTATGCACGGCGGATCCTACAAAGGAGCCAGTGGTGGAGGTGATGAACACGGTTTTGTCGGCTATGGCGCTGGATTATCCGGCAGAGAAACTAGCAGTTTATCTTTCGGATGATGGTGGCGCCGCCGTGACACTGTATGCTATCAAGGAGGCGTGTGAATTTGCTAGGTCATGGATTCCATTTTGTAGGAAATATGAAATCAAGACTAGATGTCCAGAGGCATATTTTTCATGGTTGGGGGATGCTGAAAGGCTTCTTTGGAGTCGAGAATTCAATGCTGAGGAACAAAGTATAAAGGTAATTATTTTTCTGGGCCTTTTTTTTAAAGTTAACTGTAAGGATATCCAATCAAAATAAGTCAACGTGTATAAGTTAAACGTTTGAAGTTTATCTTTAAGATAATACTGTGCCAAATAGTTTTTCATTTCATTAGTTAATCTTTGAAAATTATATGCATCTATTAAGTTGTCAAATATTACGCAGTCAAAATATGAATCCTTCAAGAGAAATGTGGAAAAAGCCGCCGAGGTCGAGGCCTCCGTCAGGTCCGATCGACCCTCATACGTCGAGGTACGTATTAACTCAACACTATTTTTGCATTTTACATAGCTACATGTCCATCAATATGTTATATGAAAGTATAATTTTTAGAATCAATTAATAATAAGAATAATATTTATACTAACAGTATATAGAAAGAGTGGATAAAGAATTAGTACGTTATGCAAATTGGTCATATTTAAAATAAGTTCTTGTTCTGAAGTTTTAGTTGTTGCCATTTGATAAATATTCAAATAAAATTCAATATACACATAGATATGACTTAAATTAAGTGCTATGATAATTGAATTCAGATTTTTGAGTGCATGTATGGTTAAGATTAAAATTAAAAAAAAAAATTACCTATAAAAAAAATATATAAATTTTAAAATTAAATAATTTTTTTGTTGATCAAAATTTGAAAATATGTAACTTATTTTTTAAAGTAATCTATGCTTTACCATTTTAAGTACATAATTTATTTTAATTGTAAATAAGAAATAAAAAATAACTTGAAAATAAAAGTTCAAATGCTTGAATTTATTGCAGGTGATCTATGATTCTAAGATCGATGAAGGACTAGAGGATAAATCAAAGATGCCACTTCTTGTTTATGTATCACGAGAGAGAAGACCTTCATACCCTCATCGCTTCAAAGCAGGAGCCCTCAATTCTCTTGTATGCAGTAGTCGAATTTCAAGATTGATCGCTCAAGCCAGCATCAATTAGAATTTGTTTAGGGCCAAATCCCACGTCGCTTAAATATATATGAAAAACAATAATGAAGGCTTGTGCTGCTCCTTGTATTTAAGCGATGTGAGATTTGACTTCGAACATCCTCCACTTAACATAGATAATGCAAAAATAACGTATTTCGCTTGTGCTATTGCAGCTTCGAGTTTCTGGGATAATGAGCAATGCGCCCTACGTACTAATATTAGATTGTGACATGTATTGCAATGATCCTTCCTCTGCAAAACAAGCAATGTGCTTCCATCTTGATCCCAAGATATCAAGCTCTCTCTCTTATATACAGTATCCTCAAATATTCTACAATGTCAGCAAGAATGATATTTATGATGGCCAAGCAAGATCCGCTTACAAGGTACAAATAGAGTTCATTTTTCAGATGTAGAGACAAAATTTACTTGTAAGTAATGTTACTGCCTCGAGTTTTACATAAAAATAATCAGATTACATTTATGTGTATAGACTAAGTACCAAGGCATGGATGGGATAAATGGCACTGTTTGCGCGGGTACCGGCTATTTTTTGAAGAAGAAGGCCTTGTATGGTCGGCCCAATAATGAAGGTTTATTCCCATATGCATTTTTCTTGTGGAGTCGATTTAAGTATTCCATGAATATACATAATTGATTGAATTAGGAGAAAATTATTAGAATAATATTTTTTAATGTTGGACAGATGATTATCTTCATGATCCAGAAAAGAATTTTGGCCTCTCTAGCAAATTTATTACTTCACTAAAAGCACTAAAAGAAGAGAAAGTTATCAAGGGAAAGGAAAATTTATCAGATGCAACTTTAGAAGAGGCGAAGAATCTTGCCTCCTGCACTTTCGAAGAAAACACGAAATGGGGGAAAGAAGTAAGTTAATTTAGCAAACTTCATTAAGTTTTTCCTAATTCTTTGATAATCAAAATTGAATGAATTTTGTTGCTAATTGTATGGTTACAGATTGGTTATTCTTATGAATGTTTGCTGGAGAGCACATTCACTGGTTATCTTTTGCACTGTAAAGGATGGAAATCGGTTTATCTTTATCCGAAAAGGCCATGTTTTCTTGGTTGCACAACCATTGACATGAAGGATGCCTTGGTTCAACTAATGAAATGGGCTTCTGGATTGGTTCAAGTAGGCTTTTCAAAATTCAGCCCTCTCACTTATGGGGTGTCTAGAATGTCTCTTCTCCAAAGTATGTGCTATGGATACTTTGCATTTTCGCACCTTTTCTCCATTGCCTGCCTGTTATATGGCGTCGTTCCTCAGCTATGCTTCCTATTTGGAATTCCCCTATTTCCTAAGGTAAATTCATATAGGTATTTCAAGACTATTTATTTACATAATATTATAGGTTCAGATAGCCGACTCTAAATTTGTCCGAGACGCCAATTGCACCAGGGTGCCAGAGGGCACCTAAGGATAGAAAGACTCAATCCAGGCGCTGCTTATGAGGAGGGCTTATTCATTTTGAGAGGCTCTCAGGGAATCTACTCCTAGACAAGGAGTAAAGAGCTCCCATAGGCTTATTTACTCGAGTTTCATAAATTTACATAAATCTATTTCATTTATTTAGAGATCGTGTTCTAAGCTTTGTAAATTACTGTTTCAGGTCACAGACCTCTGGTTTGCTGCATTTGCAACTGTGTTTGTATCATCCCTTCTTCAACATTTATCTGAAGTCCTTTCCAGTGGTGGCTCAGTTCGGACATGGTGGAATGAACAAAGAATCTGGATGATAAAATCAGTAACTGCTTGCTTATTTGGATGCCTCGACGTTCTCATGAAGTGGATAGGCGTAGCTAAAGCTAGTTTCCGTCTGACGAACAAAGCCGTCGACCAAGAAAAACTCGAAAAGTACGAGAAAGGAAAATTTGACTTCCAAGGTGCAAAAATGTTCATGTTACCATTATCACTGCTAGTTCTATTGAATTTGGGGTGCTTTATTGGTGGAGTGAAAGGGCTTATTAGTGGAAGAAATACTGAAGAAATGTTTGGACAAGGTGCTCTTTCCCTTTATATTCTTGTTCTAAGTGTTCCAATTTTTGAAGGACTGATACCAAAAATGGGCAAATGAAATTGTTGATCTTTTTGTTTTTACTTTTTACAGTTTCTTTTATTTCACTTTTTGTGAAAGAGTGAAAGGTATATTTGTAGATGTAATTCCTATTCATAATAATGGAGGGATGGATGAATTTTTCGTGTTGTGTGTTTGATCAGTTTAAAGTGGACTTTATATAGTCAATACGGCATCACAATGAGATTCAATTTGTATTAAATATTTTGATATACGCAGTGCTTTATTAAATATCTTCGGTGCTATCCTTTTGAAATGTCTGCTTCAAAAACTCTTGCATATCTCGAAAAGATAGATGCATGGACATAGTATGCAAATGATCTATTGAGAGTTTGTCTTTGTTTTTCAGTAACAAGCTACGGTCTAACGACCCCTAACCTAGGTTGGGGCTAAAACTTTAAAACTAGAGTTTCAAACCTTAATGATGAAAATAAATCAACATCTGGATACCTTTCTTATACAGTCCTTTGAATTGTTAGGACAGCCAAATTCGGGTATGTTTGTACGTGTTATTTGTTTATTTTAATAAAGAATATTAGTTATTGCATATTTACCAACAATCTTAAGATGAATTTTTTGTTTGTGATATTCTTTATTAAATTCTTGGTTCCCGATCAAATGAAATCCATTTTTCAGTTTTACTCTTCTACACCTTGAATTTCCGTTAAAATTTGGAATTTGCTTATTTTATATGTTGTAACAGAAATGGCTATCATTAATACTACAATCGATGTTCATCCGGTTGTTGTTCCTTTAGTTACGGTTCTCCCTACTAGTGTTCATCCATCATTCGTTCCACATGATGAGAAATCAGAATGATTTAGTGGGGGTTGATTTCAAAAGATGGCAACAAAAAAATGTTATTCTATCTCACACTCTAAATTTGGCTAAAATCTTGACTGAAGATGTTCTTGCTGTGCAAGAAGCAAAAAATAATAGGGCATCAATGTTTGCATTGAATGCATGGAAACATTCAGATTTTCCATATAAAAATTACACACTAAGGGTGTGTTTGGGACACATTCTTTTGAAAAAATGTATTATTGAATAGTAGATTGATGGAGAATATGTGATTAAAAATGAAGCAAAAGTTATTGATGTGATAGAAAATATTATTTTATTGAAGAATGTGTGGTTGAAAATGAGTAAAAGAATGAGAATGAAAAAAAATAATGTGTACCAAACAGAGACTGAATAGATTAATGGACAACACATTATACAATGTGTATAGTGCCATGAAGTTTGCTAAGGAGTTATAGGAATCCTTGGAGAAAAAATATAAGACTAAAGATGTCGAAATAAAGAAATTCATCTTCAACAAGTTTCTAGACTACAAAATAGTAGATTTTAAAATGGTGATTAGTTAGGTATAAGAATTATAAGTTCTTCTTCATGACATTCACACAAAGAATGTCTCTAAATGAAACCTTTCAAGTAACTGCAATTATTGAGAAACTTCCTTCCGTGTGGAAAGACATTAAGAATTATCTCAAGTACAAGCGCAATGAGATAAATATTGAAGAACTCATTGTTCGGTTGAGAATTGAAGAAGCCAAAAAAAAGTCGGACAAAAGAATTGGAAGCAAAATACCTCAAGTAAAGGCTAATGTGATGGAAACTAATGCAAAGAAAAAGAAGAAAAAGCATTCTAGATAATCTTTTAAGCACAGGAATAACAAGTGTGCGAAGAAGTTGAAGGGCAACTGTTGCAATTAGGAACTCACTCGAATGAATATCGCAAACCTAAGAAGCGACCCCAAACAAAGGTCACTGAATCTGATGCATTATCATATTTTAACATATAGGCTGTTGTTTTATAATGTAACAGCAAAGAAAATCTCATGAAATGGTGGATGAATACTGATGCTACTCGCTACATCTGAGTTGAAAAGACTGTTTTCATCATATAATCCAACAAATTGTGAAAAACCATTCATGGGAAATTCTTCAAGTTCAAAGGTTGAACGATAAGGCAAAGTAGCTTTGAAGATAACATTTGGCTAGGGAATTATCCTCAACAATGTGCTTCACGTGCCTTACATTTGCAAGAACTTAGTGTTGGTTCTTTACTTATTAAGAATGATTTCAAATTAGTCTTTGTATCTGGTAAATTTGTACTTATAAAGAATAATATGTACGTAGGTAAAGGTTATTTGTGTGATGGAATGTTTAAGATGAATGTCCTCACTATTGTACCAAATAATTCAAAAAGTAAATTATTTTCTTCTGCTAATATTCTTGAGTTATCTAATTTATGGCATCATCGATTAGGATATGTAAAATTTAACTCTGTACGTAAGTTAATGAATTTAAGTTTACTACCGTCTATGCACTTCAATACAAACAATAAATGTGAGATATGTGTATAGACCAAGTTAGTTTAAACACCGCTTCATTCGATTGAAAGAAACACGATACTTTAGAATTAATTCACAACAATATTGTGACTTAAAATTTGTGTAAACTAAAGGTGGTAAAAAAATATTTCATTGCTTGTATTGTGATTGTACAAGATACTATTATGTATACTTATTGAAAAGTAAAAATAAGACTTTGGAAGTATTTAACATTACAAGAATGTAGTTGAAAATCAACTTAGCAAACGAATAAAGATTATTCGTAGTGATCGCATATGAGAATATGTTTCTTGATTTGAGAAATTCTATTTAGAATCATGTATTATGCATCAAACTATAGCTCTATATTCACCATAATCATATGATGTTGCAAAACGTAAAAACTTGTGGGGGGAGAAGCAATCCTTTCAAGAAATTATATTCTAAATGAGACACCACACAAGAGCAAGGTTCAAACCCTGTATGAGTTATAGAAAGGTCGAAAGCCTTCATACATGTATTTAAAAGTGTGAAGGTGTTTAGCCAAGATACAAATACCTAAGTCTAAATAGGTTGGCATTGGACCTAAAACAATTGATTGTGTATTTATTGAATATGCAGATAATAGTAGTACATATCGATTTTTTGTTCATAAGTTTGAAATACTTAATATACATAAAGGTACTATAATTGCATCAAGGAATGCTGCATTTTTTTGAAGACTTCTTTCCTTGTAAAAGGAAGAGAAGTAAGTTCACAAAAATGAACTTATGATACTGCAGATGGAAATCATCAAGAGGATGAAGAACCAATGCATAGAGAAAAAGGACAAAAATATCTAAGACATTTGGTCCGAATTTTCTAACATGTTTGCTAGAAAATGAACCAATGACATTTATAGAGGCAATGTCTAATTCAGAAGCCGTGTTTTGGTAAGAAGCTATCAACGGTGAAATTAAGTCCATTATGCAAAATCATACTTGCGAGTTGTTTGATCTCTCACTTGAAAATAAAGTTCTAGGTTGTAAATGGATCTTCAATAGGAAATTAAAAATCGATAGATCAATTAACACATATAATGCTAGATTAGTAGCCAAAATGTCTTGACTTCTTCGATAAATATTCACTAGTTACAAGGATCACATCTATTCGAGTATTGATTGTAATCGCAGCATTGCATAATTTCGAAATACATCAAATAGATGTAAAGAAAACATTTTCGAATGATAAATTGGAAGAAGAAATACATATAGAACAACTTGAAAGATTTGTAGTTTTTGGACAAGATAAAAAGGTGTACAAACTTGTGAAATCATTATATGGATTAAAGCAAGCGCCTAAGCAGCGACACGAAAAATTTGATAAAATTATGTTGTCAAATAACTTCAAAATTAATGAATGCGACAAATGTGTCTATGTCAAAAGCACATCAAATGAATATGAAATTGTATGTTTATATGTTGATGATATGCTAATTATGGGTAATAACTCTATAATTATCATAAAAACCAATCAAAAGTTGACAAAACATTTTGATATGAAACATACGGCTATAGCTGATGTCATGTTAGGGATTAAAATCTCTAAGATATATGAACGATTGCTACTATCTCAATATCATTATGTTGAATCTGTACTTCAAAAATTTAAGGCGTACGATAATAATCCAATTAAAACAGCAGCAGATCTACGTCTACACTTAGTTAAAAATGATGGTAAACCTATACCACAATTAGAATATTCACGCATTATAAGTAGTTTAATGTATATTACAAATCGCACGCTTTCGAATATAGCATATGCAATCAACATATTAAGCAGAGTTATAAGTAACCCAAAAAATGATCATTGGAAGGCATTAATAAGGGTTCTTAAATATATAAGACATATTGTTCATTATGGATTACACTATTCTAGATATCTAGTTGTGTTAGAAAAATATACTGATACAAATTAGACATTTACACAAGAGATTCTATGTCTACAAATGATTATGTTTTTACCATTGAAGGCGGAGTCGTGTCCTGAAAATCCTCAAAGTAAACTTGTATAGCTTGATATATGATGGAATCCGAGTTTATAATTTTAGATAAAGTTGGAGAAGAAGTAGAATAATTTCGTAACCTCTTAAAGGACATTCCATGTTGTCATAATCCGGTACTTGCTATTAGTATACCTGCTATTAGTATACATTGTGATACTCAGTACCAAACAGTATGTATATTCGTAAATCTCAACATATTCGTCGTCGATATACTATTATTAAACAGTTGATGTCAAATAGTGTACTCTCTATTGACTATGTTAAATCAGAGGACAATATAGCGGATCCTCTTACTAAAGGAATACGAAGGGATTAGGTATACCATCTTTCGAGAAGAATGGGCTTAAAGCCTATTAACTAAAATCACCATAGTGATAATATAACCTTATTAAATGAAGATCCCATGATCACGATTCAATTGAACAACTAAGTTATGAATGATTTAGACAAGCACTTTGAAAAACACTTCTACCCATTCTGATGATAATAAAGTGCTACACTACAGAGTATATCAGGATAAGTTATAATCTTAATGATTCCTATATCTTGGAAAAGTCAAGTGAAGTATAGCAAAATACTTTAAATAGAAGATCACCTATGTAAGTGTAAATTGAGGTCGCTTCTATTAGAATTTTGAGGCTTGAAATTTCGAAAAGTACTTATGAAACCAAGAGTTGTTCAGGACCAAAATGAATACAACCATGAGAATCAAAATTGTTAGGAAAGATATGGTGAGTATTGTTGTCTTGATTTACAAAAATTGCTGAACATTTTAGATTAGCCAAGTAAAATCAATAGGATTTTGACCAAATATTCAGATAGGTCCCATTAGTCAATTCATGCGGATGAATAGTCAAACTCGTTCTACTCCTCGAGTAAATGATCGAGGTACATTTAGATTCGCAAAACCATTTTTAGATAAACGAGAAATTGATGGATAAAGTGAGGTTGACAAATGAATTTTTGGAATAAAATAAATTAGAAAAAGTTCAATTTGGAGCGTGTCTTTCCATCTACAACCCTTCAACCTCTATTAATTGGACCCCCCATGTTGGAATTCATTCATTCAATATTATAAATATCCATTACTTCGTTAAATTTTACAAAATCAAAAAGTTTTTGGCATAAAAATCTCATTCGTTGGATAGAACAAAATCATTGTCCTGATTCGTTGGTTTTTGTGATTCGAAGTGCTGGTATCATAAGAAGAGAACGTTGTATCTTGAGCTAGGCAATTATCATTATATCGTCGGCACCTATGCAGGACAAATTTTTCTCAAGGACAATAGTTTAACTCTTGTCTCGATCTATCTATCATTCCCTTTGTGGTTTTTTTGTTCATTTCATAGTTGTATAAAATCCGGGTAAGTTTACAAGTGTTATTTATTTTCTTTAATGAAAAATATCACTCATTGCATATTTACCAACACTTACTAGAAATGCAAAAGGTAAATGAGCTTGTTCATGAAAAATATATCGAACAGAATTAAGTAGACACGCTTAGGGTTGAATAGGAGTCGGTGGTATTAGATATTTGTAATAAATTTTTTTTTTCTTTCAACCAATTATTCTTCAAAATAAATTATAAAAAAAATAAAAAATGCCCCACAAACAGTGAAGCCATAAGACCTGATCAGAATGTGTAAGCACTAAGAGGCCACATTCAAACACTGACAAAGTTATAAAAATTTCGACAAAGATACATATATAATTCTTATTTGAGTCTCTTGGCTCGAGAAATGGTTGTCCCTAACAAGCTATCTATGGATTTTCAAGAAGAGAGGAGCATTTCCAAACCCGTTTAATGAAAGTCGAGTTTTATTCCATTCTAATTACGAACCAAGTGCGATACAAATGTTAGAATCATATTATTCAGAGACATTTACTCATTAGATAACTTCAACTTTAGAAACTCCAGTTCCAATTCCAGTGCAGAATTCTTCTTCTTCTCATTCTCCAGCTGCACCTTCAAATTCTCAATCTCCTTCCTCAACTGTTCTTCACTTGTCTGATTTGCACTGTCTTCACCTTGAATTAAACCAATCATGTGATTAACCAGTTGCTTTTGATCATCCACACTCTTCTTAAGAAACTTTAGAGTCTGTAACACTAATCCATTATCTCCAGTGCTGTTGCCGCCACCAGCACCACCACTCCCAACTACGTCTACGGATTCACAAGTTTCATTATGATTACAAACTGTATTGCCATCTTGGCCATCAGAACCTGATTCTTGGACACTAATATGATCAGTTTCAGACAAAACTTGTCCCGATGAACTCGAATTCAACGATTCATTAGAGCCCTTTTCCTTGTCTTTGATGAAAGCTTCACCTCCAAATGTAACTTGTTTTCGATCAGACGGGAACACAGGGTCCAGTTCAAAAACTTCTTCATTAAAATTCCACCCACTAATCCTTCTTAGTTTTGGAGTTCCACCGATAGATTCATCTTCATCTTCTTCATCAGTCTTGTTCAATAATAAGGACATCCGAATCTTCATCGATTTGAATCTTTGTTCTACACTTGGCAAACCATGCAAGAGATTCTTGACAAGAAATTCAGGCCCCTTGCTGTACTTGAAAAATGAATGCTTCAACAGTTTTTCTGCGGATGGCCTCTTGGACGGATCTTGATCAAGACACAAACCAACCATATCTTTAAAAGATTTCGTGAATTTCTTGCTCTTCATATCATTAGTCTTTTCATAGTCGGAAAACCTAAAACGCTTTGTAATTTTCATGATCAAGGATTTTGATGGAGGAAGATGAGAAAGAGGAGGCCTTCCATGAGCTAATTCCAATGCAGTAATTCCGAAAGACCATATATCAGCCTTTAAACTATATCCAGTATGTGAGTGTATCACCTCCGGCGCCATCCAATATGGCGTACCAGCAACATCAGTAAGCATCATAGAGGACGAAAACGAAGAAGACCAAGAACCGTACGACGAATTTGACTCGTAAATCGAGGCCGAAACCCCAAAATCTGCCAACTTCACCGAGCCAGTAGAGTCTATCAGAATGTTACCAGCTTTGATATCCCTATGTAGATGGCCTTGTCCATGAAGATAGGATAAAGCACTTAGAATTTCTTTAAGAACCGTGGCAATGCACGACTCCGAAAGGCCATCAGGATAAGACGACGAAATTATGGACTGTAAAGAACCTCCGGACATGAACGGCATCACCACCCAAAGGCGGCTGTCGACAGTGAAAGAACAGTGTGCTTGGAGGATATTAGGGTGGGAGAGAAGAGTCATAGTCTTGGCTTCACGGCGGACATTGTCAAAATCCGCCCTCAATTTTTCGAGATCAATGGCTTTGATGGCCACTACAGTAGAGTTGATGGGAAGGCAAATAGCCTTGTAAACAATGGCACTAGCCCCTTTACCGATTTCATCAAGAATATTGTAGCAGTTTGAATCCAAAGGGAATGGATTATTAACTTTTCTTGGATCTTCTTCTTTCTTTTGATCATGCGCCATGAATTGCAAAACTTTGATTAATTTCTTGTAAAATGCAGTGTTTAAGAAGATGAAAGAACAATTTGTAGAGAGAGTGAGAGGAGCAGCTTTCTTGTGAAGATTGTTTTGATTCTTGTGAGTTTTCAACTACTTTTTTTAATAAATGTCTGAAAAGGAAAGTTATGGCGGTCAGCATAAATGGTAAAACTATACACTCATTTATTACAAGCAAAAACAGATGCATTATATTAGTTAGCAAGTACTATTCCAACTTTAAAAAAATAATTAAATGTATTTTGGATATTTTAGAACTTAGAATTAGGACTGGATTGAAAATCACAATCCGAAAAATCGATCCGACCCAAAAACCAACCCAACCCGAAACGGGTTGGATCGATTTAGGGATAAAATCAGGTCAGATTAAGTAAAATAAATTTAAAATAATCATGGATCGGGTCGGTTCAGCCTCACAAACCGACCCGACCCACTGAAACCCAAATATCCCCAACGCTAGTTCCTCAAACCCTAGCTGCACACTCATGAGAGACCCACTGTGGCCGCTGCCTCTACTTGCACCACCACCACTAACTGCCACAAAACCAAATCAATTTCCACCACAAAACCAATCACCCCAAAAACCATCATCACAAACTACTATTGTCATCATCACTTCCTCTCAACTAGCAGGAAACTATAAAAACTCAGATCCAGTTTTCTATTTGAAAAGAAATTGTAATCGAAGATGGATGCTGTTAGTGGTGATAACAAGTGGTTGCAGAGAAGATTGTATAGTAATGGTGGTGGGTTTAGGATTTTTTGGGTTTGAATCCGACAACGAAGGAGAAGATCCGACTCATGGTGTCGAGGTTTTTCATTTGACACTCGGGTCGGGTCGGTTTGCAAAGCAGCCCAAAACCGGATAGGTCGGGTCGGTTTTGAGCCATCCCACCCCGACCGACCCATTGCCCACCAGTAGAATCGGATAGTTCTAATAGTCATAACATATCCTCACTATCTTAATGCTGTTCAATTTTTAAGCTTTAACCAAAAAGAATTGAACTGGATGAGATACGTTCTCTCTCTTTAACAAAGAATCGATCTTTTCTTTGTAAAATGGTTATATTTTGGGTTCATACAATTAAGTTTTGTGGAAATTACATAGAGACAAGTTTCTTAAGTTATGATTTCCAAAATCAAGTTTACGTTTTGTTTATATAAAAATCAAGCGTTAATTCCACATTTTAATATTAATAATAAAATTATATTAAATTAATCTATATACTCACTCTACCTCCATTCATCCCATCAAATTTCACTGTCAAAACCTAATATTTTCCTCTTTCCCTTCACTTTCTACATCTCTCCATTCTCTCTTCTTTCTCTTTACCATACACCTCCGCTGGAGACCGGAGTCACCTCCGTTGTCACCGCTGCAGCATCCATCCTATCCACCCCTTCTCTCTCTTTATCAAATGGAAGACTCTTGCCAAAGACCATCGTAAGAGACTCTTGTCCAATTAATTTGATTTATTTGTGATTGAGAAATAAGTTGTGGCATATAATTTTTTTGATTTATGGCTAATAATAACTTTGACCATAAATTATATAATATTGTGACATTAATTATTTAATCACATATTTTTTAATAAAATAATATTTCATGTAAATCTAAAACTCCTTCCTTTTTTAACCACACATTATCAAAAGTAAACACTGTTTCAAAAATTATAATTTCAAATAATGGGGGTCAAACGGGGGCTAAATAAATAAAATTTAACTATATCCAATTTTTGTAGTAATAAAACTAATTTTTTTAATTTTAAAATTGTATTTTGGAACCACCTTATATATGTAATATTCCCTTAAGTTATGATGAGAAGGATATAAATCTGAACCATGTTGACTCACCACTATTTGTGAACATACCTAAACAAAATTGGATTATTTTCAACGACTGTAAATTGAGTTCACGTTATGATAATATTGAAAGCATCCTTTATGCTGTAATTACCAATGTTATGAAAATCGATTCAATAATTAACCTCGAAAAAAAATCAAAGGGTCAATGGTCTAACGGTCGAATCGAGGTTGAACTACAATCGACCGAAAATAAAAATAATGAATAAATAAATAAATTTATTTACTACATTAAAATTTTCTATTAACTAATATAGCACTTTAAAACCCATTATTTAATATTTATTATTTATAGAGCAAGTTAAATCAAGTGAAATTATATGGGCCAAAACAATGTTATAGCCCATACATCCAAACCTAATGTTCCAGATTCAATTCATTTCAAACTCTCATCGCCTCGCCTTTTTTCTTACATATATACAAATATACACATTTATATACATTGACATAAATATTGTATTTGTTTTAAGATTATTTTTGGATTTGGATGTGTTTATCTGAAACCTTGTGCTAGGGCTTCTCCAAAGAAATAATAGAGTGACTATTAGGAAACAAGAGTTACCACTTAAAGCGCTCTCTTCTTTAAACTACTTCATAATTTTATTTTATTTTTGCAAAAATATTAATCGTGAACCTGCAAAACTCTTCTCGTTTTACTATGGATCGTGAGGGATCTTGAATGGATCTGGGCTTCACGATATTGAAACTTATGAGTACAATGTTCTGAGCCATCATTCTATAATATCTTGATGTTCAGTGGTCTATTAGGAGATAATTATTGTTATTTTATTCTGTCTATTTAATTACACAAAACAAGAAAAGAAATATTTAATCCGCTACTATAATTTAAATACTTAATTATTTAAATTATGTTTTTCCCAACCAGGAATGGATCCATGATCGGATTACAGGCCGGGCTAATACATAAAAAAATTACACTTGATTTTTTTTTTTTTTTACATTAAAAAGAAAAAATCTAACTAAAAAAATATAGAGTGCTAATTGCTTTAATTAAAAAACAGAGCAATGTGAAATCAACACCAAAATATAGAGTGCTAATTGCTTTAGAATTAACTAAAATTCTTGGGGGTATTTTTCTATCCAATTGGTGGCGGTGGGTAATTGTGGTGGTCATCGGTGCGGGACCGCGGGTTGGGATGATTTGGTTTGAATAAAGCAGTGGAGGACGACTTAGATATGAAAAGTTTGATTTGATCGATGGCGGTGGGTGATGATGCTTGCAGCAAAAGGCTGTTTAACTATTTATTATTCTTTAAAATATAATTATTAAATGTTTAGGATGTTTTATTAAGTCCTTGTTTGACCCTATTATAATGAGATTTTGGTAATAATATATTTTGAAATAGTACGTGATTAAAAAAATTAATTTTTTTTATTTACGTGTAATATTATTTTATTGAAAAATATGTGATTGAAAGAAAAAAAGAGAAAAAAATGTATTAAAACTTTAATGATGGCCAGACAAGGACTAAACCTATGTTTGAGTTCCATTAAAATTTTAATACATTTTTTGCTTTTTTCTTTTTCAATAACATATTTTTCAATAAAATAATATTACACGTAAATTCATTTTTTTTTTTAAACATTTTTTCTAAAAGCTAATTTTAACCTCNAAATTCATTTATTTTTTAAAACATTTTCTCTAAAAGCTAATTTTAATCTCTGTTTGGCCAAAATTAAAATTTTAATATGTTTTTCACTCTTTCTTTTTAACTACGCATTCTCAAATAAAATAATATTACATTTAAATAAAAAAAATTCTTTTTTAACCACACATTTTTTTTAAAAATTATTATTATAAAATATATTATTTCCAAAAATCGGGCTAAACAAGGGCTTAATGGAGCCCAAATAGGGGCTAAATGTTTTCTTCCTTAAATGATGGTAATAATACAAAACTTCAAATCTAACTTGTAGATATTGCTACTTGTTCATGCAAAATATGATTTATTTTTAAAAAAAATTACAATTCATTATGCAAAATGTAGATTTGTAAACAATGGTAAGCAAATTGTAAATTAAATTTCCCTTAAATAAATATTTTTATAATACTATAAAAATAAATTAAAGACTATAAAGAAATTCAACAAGAATTTAGTGCAAAGTTCTGCCTTTTCTTCAACTTTTATTTCCACCAACGCTAAGGCCATGTTTGATGGACAACATTTTCCATGGAAAATAAATTTTTTTTTTTTTTTTCATTTTCCAACTTTTGTAGTGTTTATCCTCACTTTCTCTCACACGTGCACATTTCCCACCTTTTAGGTGGGTTTTCATTTTTCAATTTTTTTTGGGGTAATAGGGAAAAATTCTAGACCCAATGGTAAAAAAAATTATCACTTTTATTAACAATTTCCATATAAAATAAAGTCAAACAAATGATATTCGGTATAATAAATTTTTTTTTTTGGCAAGTTAAACAAGTTCTAGACACAATGGTAAAAGAAATTATCACTTTAATGGACAATTCCATGAAAAATAAAGCCAAACGGACATCTAATTTTCAACATTTTTCAGGTGAAAAATTATACCAATCAAACACAATTAATTTCAATTACCAGTAAAATAATTTCTAAACAATTCAATTCCCTAAAATTCATTTTTTTTTCCATCTATTTTCCACATTTGCAACCTAAGTGATTTTTCTATTTTATATGGGTAGAGGGTAGTATCCCAATGGAAGCTATGCTACCCGGACAAACTCCCTACCCCCACCACCCAAACTATCCCAACCCCACCCACTCTTTAACTGGGTAAGTAATCCTGCAATACCGGCTGTGTGTATAACCTTAATAAATTGCAACTACAAATAGAATGAAATGGTATCGTTTTATTGGCCGCCAGTCATTCACTAAATCTCATCTAAATTTGGCTGTGATCTTTTGTTTGTTCGTGTCTTCTGAGGAAACTTACTCACTTTTTGTACAAAAAGGCAAGAAAATCTTGGTTCCTGAATTATCCCTTCTCTCTGTAACCTTACATGTTTGTAACTTTGTACAGCCTGAAATATTTTCAAATCTTTACTTGATTAATGAACTTGGCTATTACTGATGCTGCAACAAATTATGAGTCATCATTGCATTTAGGCAGAGAAACTTATTCAAAGAAATAAGTAGAAACTAATTATGAGAATAATTGAGTGATAATGATTTGAAACATTTCTTCAGTGTTACCTTCAGGAGGGCATGCAATTGCCTAATGGAAGATTAACTTATCCACTTCCTAAAGTTGATTTTGAGTTAAAAGGAATGGGAATGTGGTGGCAGTAATTAATTTATGAATATAGATAGCTTATCGATTGGTCAGACATCATTTTCAGACATTGTAGAACCTAATGATACTATGAACTTATCCTTTCATGTTTCAACAAGTTTGGAACACGATTCTATATATTTGAAAATGTTTGATACAATGAACTCAATTATATTGTTTTTTTCACGTCATTATTTTGAATCTTGTTCAATTACGTCCTCTCATTATCTAGTCCACATGTCCAAGCATATCCTAATTTCTATGCTACCCTAGACAGAAAAGGCTTCAAGAATTGCTAGTATTACCAGTCCACTCAACAGATATGTACAGAAGGCCATGGTCCAAACCTACCTGATCATGTTAAATATTTGATGATAAAACTATTAAAGACATGTCATTGAATTATTTAGTGCAATATGACAAAAAAAAATTGACATGAAATATAAAAAAGAATAAAGAACATCCCCTAGATCTTTTCCCCAAAGTACTTGGTAGGACAAGGTTCCAGCTACCTTTAGTATAAGGTGTACAGACATAGGAAACATGCACTGATTGACTCCTCTCATTGGGATTCTCAGTTTCTGGCTTAGAATTTTATGGCCAGCTGAGACTTGAAAGCCTTTCTTGACCATGTCTCGCACTTCCACAAACACACATTATATGTGTCCCAAGTCCAACCTCTATATATCATTCACATATCCCTGGTTAGTGACACCTCTTCGGCTCTTCCTAGTCGGGTTCGTGTCTCGTGTCAGTGAAAACTCTATTCCCCTTCTGTGTGTGTGAAATGCTAAAGAAATGAACGAGAAGAAAATTTAGGGATTATAGGAAAATGGGGTTTGGGAGTGAGTGTAATGTTGAAGGAGAAGGAGATTTACTTGCTGGAATTTCGTGGCCTCCAAGATGTTATACATGTAGCTTTTGCAAGAGAGAATTCAGATCTGCTCAAGCACTTGGTGGCCACATGAATGTTCATAGAAAAGATAGAGCCAGATTGAGACAGTACTCCCCACCAAGGGATAATTATAACAATAATGCTCAGTTTTCAGTTCTAAAACGTATTCATGATCCTAACCCTAATCTAAGTTCAAACCCTAAACCTAGTTTTTCATCTCCATTTGCAACATCATCCCTTTTGAAAAAATTTCCCCCTTTCAATTCAGCATTATCTGCATTAGTTCCTCCCTCTTTTTCAACTCTGTCACCATCATTTTCTTCAGCTAGTGTCTCTGAAATAAAGAAATGGGGCAAACAAGTTGCAGCAGAAGTCAACTATTCAAGTCCACTAACAGCGGATTTGACGAAAATGAAAACTACGAAGGCATTTTTCGGGGTTGAAAATTTCGGTTCATTTGCGCATGAAACAAGATGTGAAGTCAAGAAAGCAGAAATAGTTAATCTGGATTTGGAAATTGGCCAGATTAGTCAATCAGAGGACTTGGATTTGGAACTCCGGCTAGGATACAGTTAGCAGCATATTAGTAATGTACTTCCTGAAGGCACTGGTTTAATCTACTTTCAAATGGTCATGTAATATTTGCACTTAACTTCTGCCTAAATTAATAGAATCCCTATTTGCTTTTGCTGATGCTCTTATGATAATTGTTATATTATCTGGAATTCACCCTTCTGTTGCCCAGATTACAAAATAAACTAAGATGTTTCACTTCGCTTCTATTATTTTGCAAAATTTTGAGACGTCTGAAGCAAGATCCTGAGGAATGGAGCACAACGACCGATAGTTTATTCGGTTAATGCTAACTAATGAGACTGAATATGGAGTCCATACCAAGTAAATTGTATACTTGTGCCGTTTTTGTGAAGTAGACAATACTAAACAATATGAAATATTAAATTTTTTACTATATAAATGTTTGAGTACCATTCATTTTCCAAACACGCTTCTCAGTGCATATAGTTAAAAACATCTCCCCTCTTACTTGGTCGAACACTATATGAAGTGGGTGAAGGGATATTGATTGATTTCAGAATAATCATTTTTACTCAACAAATTCTAAAGGAATAAGCCACTTTGCCAGACGTTTTTGCCCACCTATTTGATATATGTAGCTATGGCAATAGATGATTTGATAGAAAAACTAACTGTTTTTCAAACAGTCCAATGATAAAATATGCATTCATTCTGTCAAAGAAGATGGCAAAAAATTCTAGCAATATAGCATGGTTCAATTCTAAAGCATATTGCTTCTCTACACTATTTTGAGAAGTTGATACAAATGTGGAACTTTTTGCTATACTTTTCAATCTCAACCCCACACAACCTCTAGTTTTAAGTCAAAAGGGAGAATAGCTTCAAAGCTTATAAAGTATACTTTTCATGTTATTCAAAATATGAAGTCATTTGTTTACTTGAACCAATGGTGAAACTCCTCATTAATCTCCTTATTGAAAAATTTAAATTGTTACAAAAGATTATATTTATAACATTCTTTTTAATGAAGAAAATGGAACCGAAAACGTATGTGAGGAACCTTGTTAAAAATAAAATTTAAACAAATAAATTTGCCACATTAATACTCTCTGAAACTTTAAATGAAACATTCGAACAAATATTTAAGCAATCCCCCCTATCATTCATTCATGTTTATTGTCAGTATATGCTCGAACACACACACAGAGTATACTTACATAGTACATTAATGATAGCTCCCATGTCAAATGATTCTAAGTGATGTTAATATTGTTGGGCCAGTGGATGCATTTCCCAAAATCTGATAGTTTCCATGTTCAAATGAAATGATGACATTTCCTTAAACAGAGAGTGACAGTTTTGTTCAGTTTGAAAAATACTTATTGCAGTTAACTGAGAGGACCCTCCTTTGCTTCCCAAAATAGTATACATGACATTTGAATACTTACAAAAATGCCCTAACCCCTTACCTCTTCTTTTCTTGCAATTTCTAAGCCATTAGATTTTATACTTACGAAGAACTCATCATTAAAGGTGGAGACACTAGTGGTCATTCGTCAATCATCGTGTCAATTCAAATGAAGAATTACATGAGGTGGGATGCAATAATCAAGAATCCATTGATTCGAAGAGACAAATATTGGATAGGACTAAAACTCGAGAAAACAATCTCAATGTTTGTTTTAGATTAAAATCAGATTTAAATTTAAATTAAAGTTAAACAATTAATATTAACCATATCTTTTATGGGTCCCACAACTTTTCAACCACACATCTTAGAAACTTTTATCACAATTTATTAAAAATCTAATTTTAATTCTCACCAAACACCCATATAAAATGCTTATTGCAAGACAACCTGACTAAGAAATCGGAAAAAAAAAAAAGTGTTTTGGAAAAATAATTTTTTTGAGAATATGTCGTTAAAAATGAAGGAAATGTTTTAAAATTAAGTGTAACATCATTTTGTTGGAGAATGTGAGATCGAAAATAAGAAAGAAAAAAATGTTTTAATTCAAGAATGGAGCTCAAATGGGGCACTAAATTTACATCCTTGGGACTATAAAAATGAAACTCATCAGGGCCACAATTAACTTGTATAAAGGCATAAATGGAAAATAAATGTAACAAAGGCATAAATGATTGAAATGTCTAAATTGTAAAGACATCCCATCAAGAAATTTGTTGTTCTGTAAAGCAATGTTTCCATCAGGTCTGTCCACCCCGTACTAATCCATTACAGTGGAAAATATCTAGCTACGTGTTTGGTATAAATTAAAATTTTAAATCAAAGATAACAATTAATTTTAATTACATATTTCACGAGACCCACTACTTTTCAACAATACATTTCATTAATTTTTATAAAAAAAATCTATTTCTAAGGTAGTTGATAGTCATAGAAGACAGATTGATTGTTGTTCTTCCTGCATCTCTTCCTCCTCTATTTGAGGTTGAGAAATACTTTATCCCATTTCCCTATGTTTAGAACTATATTCTGTCTCACTCTCCACTTGCTCTCATCAACAAAGTCAAGTAGGGATTCAAGCTCCACCTGCAGCTTAGTTCCATCAGCTTCTCCTATTGCTAATGAAGTTTTCAATTTATCTCAGTCAAACACAACTTGTCAAGCTCATTAAAGGTCACATCCCTACTTGTTATTATCTTAATACCTCTAAAACTTCTAGCTCAATGCATTT